TCCTGGCCAACCTGGAACTCACCCTGTAGACCAGACTAGCCTCGAACTCACAGAGATCCGCCTGCCTCTGCCTCCCGAGTGCTGGGATTACAGGCGTGCGCCACCAACGCCTGGCTCCTTTCTTTCTGTTATTGGAAAAAATTCTCTACAGTATATCTTGATCGTGTTTTCCCCTCCTCCCACCCTCCCAGACAGATCCTCCCACCTTCTTACCTACTTTGTGCTCTTTTTCCTTTCTCTTCCAAAGACAAACCAAAAAATAAAACCCATAAAAACTAAAATCAAAACAAATAAGCAAAAGGCCAATAAGAAAAAAAGAAGCCAGCGGGGCGGAGGTGGTGCACGCCTTTAATCCCAGCACTCGGGAGGCAGAGGCAGGCGGATCTCTGTGAGTTCGAGGCCAGGCTGGACCGACAGCCTCCAAAACAATCAGAGAAACCCTGTCTCGTAAAAACCAAAAAAAAAAAAAAAAAAAAAAAAAAAGAAAGAAAGAAAAAAAGAAGCCAAAACAAGGCGAAACGAAGCAAAAAGTCCACAGAAACACCACTGAGTTCACTTTGTGTTAGCCACCTTCCCACTCTTAGGCGTGGGAAGAAGTACCGTGCACTGTGCTTGACATACTCAGTGGCATTCCATCAGAGGAAACTGGTTTTTCCCCTTTCTCAGAGGTATCAATTGCAGGTAGCTTCTTGGTTAGGGTGGAAGCCTGTGTCCCATCTTCCCGGGGGCGGTCTCGCTGGAACCTGAGCAGGCCTTGGGGTCTGCCACAGTGTCCGTGAGTTCACGTGTGCGTCAGTCCTGCTGTGTCAGGAAGCCTCTGTTTCCTTGGAGACATCCATCGCTTCTGGCTCTCAGTCTTGCTCCTGCTCCCTCTAAATAAACCCAGAGCCTTGGGGTGGGGTTGGATGAAGACATCCCATTTAGTGCTGAGAGCTCCAAAGCCTCTCACTCTGCACATTTTCCAGTTGTAAGTCTCCGTGTTAATTTCCGTCTACTAAAAGAAGAAGCTTCTCTGATGTGGGTTGATCTGTGTGTCATTAGGGGTCTTTTTAAATTGTTTTGTTTTTTGTTTTTTGAGATAGGGTTTCTTTGTGTCATCTTGAACTCACTCTGGCCTCAAACTCAAGAGTTCCACCTGCCTCTGTCTCCTGAGTGCTGGGATTAAAGATGTGCACCACCATGCTCAGTTTAGGAGGTCATTTTATTACTATGTCCCTTTAGTAGAATAATAGTAGTAAATTTTCCTCTAGACCATGACCTATCTAGTTTCAAGTTCTTGAACACTTTCACCATGTCAGGTATGAGTTCCAACTCAAAGAGACGGCCTCAAATCCAACCAGGAAGTGGTTGGTGACTCCCATAATATTCATGCCGCTATTACACCGGTACACCTTGCAGCCAGGCCACTGTTGAAGGTCACAGGGTTTATAGCTGGGTGATACTGATGACAACCTTTCTCCTTCTGCAGCATGGAAAGTGCATTCTAACATGTTGCATGATCGTCAATAGGGGTGAAACTTCTTCTTGGGCATCAGGTCAATTTCTCCATGTTTCATAAGTAAGTATTGTCTCCAGGAATAGAGCCTTACAATCAAGTTGTAGAGAACAACCAATAGCTTTGACAACAATCTGTGATTTTTGGAGGTTTCCATAGGGCCCCTTTGGCCAACATTTATCACCTTTCTAAATTTTATACTATACCCACAGTTGCGGCTGTTAACGTTTGTGTGTGTGTGTGTGTGTGTGTGTGTGTGTGTGTGTGCTTTATAGTCATAAGAGGGAGAATATGCTAGTTTCTTTTCCTCGTTTAATATTGTATATTCTAAGCCCATCTAATTTCTTTAAAATTTTGTAATTTTTTTCCTTTGTCACTGAATAATATCACATTTTATACACATACTAGATTTTCATTATCCATTCATTTGCTGATGACATCTAGGCTACAGTGAATAAAGCAACATAAACATGGGGTGCTAATATCTTTGTAGTGGGGTATGGAGCTCTCTAGGTATATGCCCAGGAGTGAAATAGCTCTGTTTATAATTTTTTAATATGGTAGCTCTGTTTATAATTTTTTGAGGAATCTCCAAACTGACTTCCACAATGGCTGTATTAGTTTGTACTCCCACCAGTGGTGAATAAGAGATCCCTTCAAATCCTCTCCAACATTTGTTGATGCAGAGAGTTTATTAATGACAGTTGTTCTGACTAGGACCAGGAGGTATCACAGAGTAGTTTTAAATTGCATTTCCCTGATGACTAGGAATATTGAACACCTTGTAAAACACAAATGACCATTTGTATTTCTTCTTTTGAAAGCTGTCTAGTCAATTCATTTGTCATTTGTTGATTGGAAGTTTTGTTTCCTTGATATTTAATTTCTGTAGTTCATGGTAAATGCTAGATATTAGCCCCTTATTTGGGGGGTTTATTTTGGTTTTTGGTTTTTGAGACAAGGTCTCTATATGTAAAGCAGACTGACCTTGAACTCATAGAGGTCCACATGTCTCTCAGAGTGTTGGGTGCAACCATGCCCAGCTTCTAATAGACTTTTTTGCTGTGCAGAAACTTCTGTTTTTGTGTTGTGCCATCATCAATACTCAGGACAGTTCCTGCAATCTTGGTGCTCTGTTCAGAAAGCTCTTGCCTAGCCCAGTGTCCCACAGAGTGGTCCTTATGTTTTCTTCTAGAAGTTTCCATTTTTAAATTAAAGTCTTGGATCCATTTTAAATTGATTTTTGTTCAAGATGAAAGATGTGAATCCAATTTCATTATTTTGCACGTGGATATCCAATTTACCAGCACCATTTGTTGAATAGGCTTTTTTTTTTCCCACTGCATGTTTTTGTCCCCTTTGTCAAAACTTAAGGGACACAGCTCTGTGGGCTTCTCCCATGATCTCTGCCCTGTTGCATTGGCCTAACACTCTGCTTTTATACCAGTTCCAGAGTGCTTTAGTCACCATGTCTGCATCTGGAGTTCGCTATTGTGTTAGTCCAGCTGTGGTCTTGTTTTGGTTTTGTTTGGTTTTTCTGTTTGTTTGGTTTGGTTTGATTTTCCGAGTCAGGGTTTCTCTGTGGCTTTGGAGGCTGTCCTGGAGCTCGCCCTGTAGACAGGCTGTCCTGGAGCTCGCCCTGTAGACCAGGCTGTCCTGGAACTCGCCCTGTAGACAGGCTGTCCTGGAACTCGCCCTGTAGACAGGCTGTCCTGGAGCTCGCCCTGTAGACCAGGCTGTCCTGGAGCTCGCCCTGTAGACCAGGCTGTCCTGGAGCTCGCCCTGTAGACCAGGCTGTCCTGGAGCTCGCCCTGTAGACCAGGCTGTCCTGGAACTCGCCCTGTAGACAGGCTGTCCTGGAACTCGCCCTGTAGACAGGCTGTCCTGGAGCTCGCCCTGTAGACAGGCTGTCCTGGAACTCGCTCTGTAGACAGGCTGTCCTGGAACTCGCCCTGTAGACAGGCTGTCCTGGAGCTCGCCCTGTAGACAGGCTGTCCTGGAACTCGCTCTGTAGACAGGCTGTCCTGGAACTCGCCCTGTAGACAGGCTGTCCTGGAACTCGCTCTGTAGACAGGCTGGCCTCCAGCTGTGTTCTTACTCTTTGGGATGCTTTGCTATTTGTAGTTATCTGTGGCTCCAGATAAATTCTTGGATTGTTTTTTTTTTTCTATGTTTGTAAAATACGGCATTGGAATTCTATATGTACTGCATTAAATCTGCAGATTAATTTTGGTAGTACAACCATTTTCACTCTAGGAATATGGAATGTCTTTCTGGCGTCTAGAGCCTTTTTTGATTCCCTTTCTGATGTCTTGACGTTCTCCTTGAAGAGTCCTTGCTCTTCTTTGGTTAGGTATGTTCCTACATACTTAACTTTTTGTAGCTATCACAAACAGGATATTCCTTTTCTTTCTCTGAGAATAGGTTGTTGATATACATAAAGGCTAGTGTTTTGGTATTGATTTTGTATCCTGCAACTGTGTTATCAGATCAAACAGCTTTCTAGTAAATTTTTTTCCTTTTTGTATTGTTTTGTTTGTTTGGGGTTTTTTGTTTTTTGTTTTTTGTTTTTTTGTTTGTTTTGTTTTGTTTTTGAGACAGGGTTTCTCTATGTAAGCCTAGGTTATCCTAAAACTCACTCTGTAGACCAGGCTGGCCTTAAACTTAGAAACTCGACTGCCCCGCCTCCTGAGTCCTGGGACTAAAGGCATACACCACCACCACCACCCGGCAAGTCTTTTCCATTTCTAAGCAATGTTAAATGGGTCATAGAATCTGTTCTCCTGGGTTGACACCAAAAGATGCAGAGGACACCACCTGCCCCATGTGACTTGCTTCTCCCCCTTCCCCACCCCCAGAGGGCTCTACCTCTTAAAGCCCCAGTTTCCCAAGAGAGCACTGCTTGGAAGCACATGTTCAAAGCATGAACTGTGGGGACAGTTCAGATTCAACAGCACCTGCTAACCTGTATGGTTAGAGAATCCCCCAAGGTCGCTTAGTATTGCCTTAATCCAACCCCATTATCTGCCAGGCTCCTTTCTCAAACTCGGAGTCTCATGGATCTCGTGTGGCTCAAAATCAGCCCCTTCAGCGCTGGTGCAATGGCTCCATGGGCAAGTTCCTGCCATCCAAGCCCGTAGGCCGGAGTTGGGAGCCTCAGCGAGCACATAAAAACTGGCACACGTCTGTAAGCCCAGTGCTGGTTTAAGGGGAAATAGTGTATCCCGGTTCGTAGCTGCCAGCCAGTCCAGCTGAAATTGTGAGCTCAAGGCTCAACAGAAGACCCTGTCTCAGAATATAAGGTGGAGGGTTGGTCGAGGAAGATGCTTGCTTCAACCTTTAGTTTCCATGTACACGCATGGGCAAGTGCGCCTGTGGTATAACACGTATCACACAAACACAAACACATACACACATACATACGCAAAGTTCTTCCAGAAGTCTAACCCACATCCTTCCTGTTGCTGCCCTGCCCCTCCATCCCCATGTCTCTCCTCAAAGTAAAATTCTGGCTATGAATCTCTGAGAAGTCTTACAGACCTTTCAGGGAGGGGACAAAGGTCAGCTAGCAAGCACTCCTCAGCACCTAACAGAGGAAGCCACCAGCACCCCAGTGGCCTGCCTTCCAGGGCCAGGTCTGTTGTCCTACCAGGCTTTCCATGACGTGGGCCCTCTTCACGATGAAGGAGGTGGGTAAAGCGACACTTCCTGTCCCCGGGGGAAGGAGTGAGGGGAGAGATGAGCCGCTGCCGAATGTGCTCCTCTTTTGAGAGCACAGGCACCTGCCTCTATGGAGTTCTGCTTGGCTCAGACATGCTCCCAAGGTACGTGTGCAGATCCAGAGTCCCCTACCCCACTGCCCTCCATCACAGCCGCTGTCCCAAGCCAGAGCTGCCATAGTGTCAACTCCTGCTCTATCTCTGGGGCTCCATATCTGTGCATCCCCGAGGGCAGGGGAGAGGGGTCCTCAGATTTTTAGGAAACTGGAACAAGAGGGTAAAAGAAGATGGCAGCTGGAAGAGCCTAGACCAAGAGAGAAGCCTGGCCTGAGGGGATTTACCCCTGTACACGGCTTCCAGGCCAACAGAGGGCCAGCCTAGTTCCCAGGGTTTCTTTTTCTCTGACATCCCTCCGTCACCATCAGCCCCTCTGGAACACCTGGGCTCCTTATTCCCATCCCTGAGATACCCACCCACTCCCCGGCTATCCACTTGACTTGTCAGGAAAAACCTCTTCAGGGATGTTTCAGAGACACTCTAAGCCTGGGGAATAGGAGGGAGAGAGAGGGAGAAGCAGCCCCTCCCTGAGAAACCCCAGAAACCCCCTTTGTCCCAACAGGGAATCATGAAGCCCCCTCCCCAACCTTCAGCACCTTCCAGCCCAAGAACTTGACCGAGGGGCGATGCCAGGAATTGGGTTGGGGGAGCAAGCCCAGCATGCGGGCTCTGCAGGAAAAGGAGGTTCGGCTCAGCCCCAGGGCCACCCACACCATGGTGAGTAAAAGTATGGAGGGGTCCAGTTACCTCGTGGGCTCCCACCCTCTCAAGGATGAGGGCGCAAGGCCAGCAGGGGTGAACGGCTGGCTGAGGACAGGGCTGGGTACCAAGGAAGGAAGAGGTGGGGTGTGCCTCTTTCCCGTGCATAGCGACCCGCTTGCCCTCAGTCCCTCTGGCCCTGGAAAGCTCAGGACCAGTCAGCAGGGGACCAGGACACTGTCAGGCACTGATCTCAGATGCCCCCGTCTGCGGTCCCTGTCAGCACCCCGGGATGCCCCCCTGCGTTCCGTGTCAGCATCTCCATTTGCCCAAAGCATTAAAGATCCTATCTCAGCCCCTTGTCCTCCCAGGCAGCTCAGTGCCCTTTACTAGAGAAGAGGCCACCCTCTCCTGCCTGGGGCAACTTCCTATACCAGGCCCTGCCCTCTGAGGCCAGCATGGAAGGCCATCAGAAGAAACTTAAGTCAGTGGCCTTGGGAAGGACTTCCTGGGCAACCTGACCCTAAAATAGGCGGAGGTGCTGGTCTGAGGGTAGAAAGGAGACAACTGTGGTCAGAAGTCCTGTAATCATGGCTGCTTCACACTGACTTCTCTCATGCCCAGGCTTCTGCCTCAGCCTGGGTCCTAGGGAACGCTGACAAGGAGGAAGAGGCGTCTGGGAAAGGTGGCCCGTCATTGCAAGCTGAGACCAGAGCGTGGGTCCAGAAGACCCAGGCCCACTGGCTTCTGCTCAGGACTGCCCCTGTTTGGTTCCACGGCTTCATCACCAGGCGGTGAGTCACAGAGGAGAAAATCCCCAGAAGGCACAGCGGCTGTCCCTCCTGAGTCACCCCGGAAATGGTGACAGCTAGGACTCTAGTTTCCCAGGCCTTTTACTGAGGGGACGCCTGGCTCAACCCGCTCTGTGCCTCAGTTTCTCTCCCTAGGCTCACTTATTCTACCTGCTCTAGGCCTCGAGTCCGCATGTCTTCAGCCCCTCTCCCCTCCGTCTCCATCAGCTGTCCAGCCCTCTCCTCTTCCTTCCTGCCCTTGCAGATGCTCCATCCTCCATTACTCAACCCTGCTCCTCTTCCATCATCTCCGTGGTCCAGCTTTCGCCTTCTAAACTTTAGCACTTGTAACTGCCATGTCTCTTCCCTGCAGCTCCCCCTCCTGCAGGATGAAGCCCAGGGTCCTCTGAGTTGGACTCCTGACCCCTCATCTCCCCATAGTCGTGACATTCTTGCTTGGGATGGAAGTGAGGGGTCCCTTACGAGAGCCTGAGAGACAGAAACGAGGTCTCAAAAGTCAGGACCGACCCCACCCTTCTCTCCAACTGTCCAGGGAGGCTGAGCGGCTGCTGCAGTCCCAGCCTCAAGGATGCTATCTGGTGCGCTTCAGCGAGAGCGCTGTGACCTTCGTGCTATCCTACAGGTAAGAGGCGGATGCGGAGCTTCGTGCTAACCAAGGGGTAGCCCCCTGTGCTGACCCGCTATCTCTCCAAGGAGGGAGGGCTCAGGGCTTATCCTTCAGCGTGGTGGGGCAAGAAACGGCGAGTCTGACTCAAAGTGGCCCCTCCAGGAGCCGGACCTGCTGCCGACACTTCCTCCTTGCCCAGCTAGGGGATGGGCGTCACGTGGTACTGGGCGAAGACAGTGCCCATGCGCAGCTGCAGGACCTGCTCCAACACTACACAGAGTGTCCCCTCAGCCCCTATGGGGAGATGCTCACCCAGCCCCTTGCCCGCCAGGTGAGCCCTTACCCAAAACCCACAACTCTGGCCAGTGTCGCTGTCGCCACCACCTCCAGCATCCATCCGGATCCAGGCTACTGGCGTCTGCTCTTCTTACCCCAGCCCACGACTGGCCATACGTACCTGCTCACACCTCTCCCAGAAACGCACTCGACCAAACCAACAGGGCAAAGGGAGGCAAGGGAGACAAATTAAACTAAGCTAAGTTTACTGAGTCTCTGGAGCAGGGGTGAAGAGGAGAGGTCCTGTAAACAGACCTATGGCCATGACCGGTGTGTGTCTCACTCAAACCTTACTACAACAGCGACACCAGACAGTCTGATGATGAGATCGGGAGCGGAGGCTGTGGTGGATGCCAGGGAATGCAAGGTCCACCGCTTAGCTTGGCAGGAACTGTCAGGGAGCCTCCACCTTTTGACCGCTGTGTGTTGAGAGTGGTTCTAGACACTGAGGAAATAAGCAATGACCAGAAAATACCGTGGCCTTCATGGGGCCTCTGTTCTAGGACAGGACAGACACCATAAACAATACAGAGAACACACTGACGGCAAAAACGTTAAAAGCTAGGAGGAAAGCCAAGCGGTGATGGAGAGTAGCGGGGTTGGCACTCTCACACAGGGACAGCAGGGAAGATGGGGGACATCAGAATGACGTGAAAGAGGAGGCCTGAAGACAGCAGGAGGAAAAGCATTGGGGCAAAAGTGGCATCCAGGGCAAGGGCCCTGCAGCGGGAGGTTGTTTGATGTGTTTGAAGAGCAGTGAGCAGCCACCAAGCTGCCGGGGACCAGGATTACTGATGAATGGACAGATCCGAAAGGTCAGAAGGCGAGGTGACGGGCCCTGTGGCTCATACAAGGGTCTGAGGTTCCCTTCCAGGTAGAGTACACTGGAGAGTTAGGAGCAAAGGCCTGACCATACAGTTCATGGGGGCCAGACAAGGTCGCCAGAGATGGAGATGGGTATCGACTTTCAGAAGGTGAGGGGGCAGGCTAGCCCAGGGGAGCCGGTGGAGTAGGAGGGCCTGCTGGCTGTTTACAAGGGGGAGCTGACAGGGTCCTTGCAGAACTAGATGAGGAAGCAGGAAGATGTTTAGATGAAGGCTGCAGGGCAAGCATGTCTCAGCCAGGGACAAACATTTGTAGTTTGAGAGGTCAAGTAGGAAGCTGGCGTTGCCATGTAGCTGGAAGGCCTTGTCTAGCTCCAGGCCGTGAGTCCAATCCCCAGATCCACAGGAGAAAGGCAGCTGCAACCCACAGAGCCAGATCCAGTCTGGGACAAAGGTCAGAATGGGAATTGAGCCCTGCCCTGACCACGCTTGGAGGTCTGGATCCTTCTAGAGCAGGAAGCCCTGCAGCGCAGCTGGAGACACAGGGCAAGAAGGCTGCAGAACGGCGGGGGTGTGTGGCTGACGATGGTGCCAGCCGTGTGCGAGCTTGGAGACAGGGAGACTGGCGGGGGCAGGGAAAATCTTGTGTTGGACCTGAGGTAGGAGAGTGGCAAGGTCTCGAGGCTGATTTTCCTACCATTTGGGCAGCAGGGAAGGAAAGGCAGGGAAGTACAGGGTGGGCACTAAGAGAAAGAATTCCCATTTGGATCTAGAAAGCCCTGTGGCCTTGGCCTCAAGAAGCAGAGGGCCCATGGAGCCCTTCGTGAGGCTAGCATTAACGCTGAGCTAAAAACAAAACTACCGTGGGCTAGTTACAAGGGAAAGTTTGTTCACTTCTGTCTTTATATACTAAGCTTCTTGAGCCTGAAGAAAGAAGGCCCAGCTGTCATGGAGGTTTGTCCCCATGCTGACTGTTTTGAAGGTAAAGACTCCTAAAGCCACAAGCACAAACGACTGTCTTGGCCCTGTATTCTAGATGAAGTTCAGTGCTAGATGCGTCTGTGACCAGAGCTCACTCCACCCAGTCTGCAGGCCTCCTCCACACCTTCGCCACCTCTTCCTCACACGGAGAACTGGGCCCACGCCACACTTCTCCATCCCTTCCTTCCTCTCAGACCTAATTACTTGTCCTGAATTACCTGTCATCCCCAATCCTACAGACTGCTGAGCCGGCTGGACTTTTCATGAGGACTGAATCAGTCTCTGGAAGCAAAAGACAAGAGGACCCAGACAGCCAGCACAGCCTGCTCGTCCAACAGGAGCAGGCCCAGGCCCCAGCACACGAAGAGAAAGTGCGGACCTCCCAACCCAAGGGGGTACTGTATGAGATGAGTCAGCTTGACAGGGAGGGGATCCAGGTCTGGCGAGGGGACCCAGGACAGAAGGACAGGCCAGGGAGGTAGGGACTTCATGGGTAGAGGCTCAGGCTGAGGTAAGAGTGAGCTTAGATGCTGTCTCCATGGTTCTCATCGGTTCTCTTCCCCGGCCTTGCCTTCTCTCCTAGACTTCACCCAGACCCAGGCCACCCATCCCTGCCAAGCCTCAGGTTCCTCTTGATGTCTATTCACGCCCTGCCTCACGACGCCATCGAGCTCTGCCCACTAACGCCATCTACCAGGAACCTGATGAACCCATAGCCTTCTACGCCATGGGACGGGGCAGCCCCGGGGAAGCCCCTAGTAATATCTATGCTGAGGTAGAGGGGCCACCGGGAATGGCACCCACTGGGCACCCCACCCTCCAGAAGTGCTGGTCCAGGCCTATCTCAGAAGGCCAGGTAAAGGGGGCACAGGGGAAGAAAAACTCAAGAAGGCCAGCAGGAAGAGGGAGCCCCTCCTGGACAGTGGGGCAGGGTGAAGGTCAGTGAGCGGAAGAGGGATGGAGTAGTCCACACTGCCGGAAACCTATGCCCAGCTCCAGGCCTGAGACCACTCTGTCTACTCTCCTGGACCCTCTCATGGGCTCACCTTTGTCAAGCCCTACCTCCCCGACTTTAGAGGAAATTAAGGAAGACAGTGTCCCTCAACCTTCCTCCTCCCAGCCTGTCTTCCTCAGACACATGTGGTACTGACCCAGCCCTCCCAGAGAGGCACTGCGCTCTGCGTGCTCACCCCTCACAGTCTCCCCGCTGGGAGTGTCAGTCACATCGGAGTGGGTATTGCTATGCCGTGGGTCCGACGCGCTTCTCCACACCTCAGGTCCTTCCTCAGGCTCCCTCTCCACTAGGCCTCCGCCGGCTGAGCTCACCTGAGCCCTTGCCAGCTGCTGCTCTTGCCACCCTGGCTCCACCCAGACTTCCCTGTGTAGCTGGCATTTTCTTTGGGCCACCAGCCAGATCCCAAATGAAGACATGGAGACACATCACTAATCATGAACGCCCGGCCTTCACGTGTGCTCTCCCCACAAGCTCTTTTAACTTAACCCATTTCTCTTCATCTACGTTTGCCTGGGGCTCATTCTGTGTGTCCTACTTTCCTGCTTCCTCTGTGTCTGCCTGGCTGGGCCCTAGCATCTCCCGGGTATCTCTTTTTCTCCCCGACCCCACAGCCTAAATCCCTCCTCCTATTTACTCTCCCTGCCCGGAGGTCCCTCCTGTACCTCCTCCCTCGCTATTGGCCATGCAGCTTTTTATTAGACCCATCAGGTGCCTTAGGCAGGCAAGGTAACACAGCAACACATCTTTGCATAGTTAAAAAATATCCCTATGGTTCCAAAGCCACTCAAATGTCATTCAGACCAACACCACTCTCTCTCTCTCTCTCTCTCTCTCTCTCTCTCTCTCTCTCTCTCACACACACACACACACACACACACACACACACACACACACACACACATCCTCCTGTGTTCCACATCCTGACTGATTGACTGATTACCTCCCAGCACCCAGCTATCTAACCAGAAATGTTGGGTCCCTAAACATCTCTACCCTTTTTGCTTCAGTCTCTGTAGGATGATAAATCTGCCATCTCCCCCCCACCCCATTCTAATCCCTGCCATTTTCTCATCAAGACTTTTCTAAGAGCTATGTTTTGGGGGGGCTTTTTTGTTTGTTAGTTTGTTTGTTTGTTTGTTTTGCTTTGTTTTTCAAGACAGGGTTTCTCTATGTAGCTTTGGAGTCTGTCCTGGAACTCGCTCTGTAGACCACCTGCCTCTGCCTCCCAAATGTTGGGATTAAAGGCATGTGCCACCACCGCCCAGCTAGAACTATGTTTTTGTTGGTGTTATTTTTGAGACAGGGTCTCGCTGTGTAGCCCTGGCTGACGTAGAAATCCCTATGTAGACCAGGCTGTCTTAGCACTTATAGATACTTGTTTCAGCCTTCCAAAGAATGCTGGGATGTTGGGTATGCATCAAGCTTCCATCTTACTATGAAGTTGATGACCCTTGAACTTGGCCCTACTTCCTGCACACTGGATTACAAGTGTGTGCTCCCAAACAGCCATACAGTGCTAGGAATCGAGCTCAGGGCTTGTGCATGCTGCGCAAGCACTTTGCCATCTGAACTATAGCCCAGTCTCTCTAAGAGCTGCTCAGCTGGTCTCCTGCATACCAGGCTCGCCACTTCTGACCCACTCTTCCCCAAGGAAGCCAGGATGGGCTTTCTGAAGCAGCCGCCTGGCCCCCAGGTCTTCCATACTGCATCAGCCCCATTTCAAACACTCCCATCACATTTCTCCAAACTCAGCAAGGACACCAAGCCTCTTCTAGTTTACACGCATCCGCCCTGCCCACAGCAGCTCCTACACGCTTACCTGCCAGTTGCCTAGTGTTGCCCCTCCCCCGTGGGGGTCTGCTGACCGCCTGTGACTAGGAGCTCCTAGCAAAACACTTCTCATCCCCTCTTCCCAGTAAGGCCTGTGTGCAAGTTCATGTTTTCTGTCCATCCTTATTGTCTAAATGCTAATTCCTGTTTTTGGCTCACCCTTTGCTGGGGTCCGGGGAACTCAAGGATTCTGACCTTGGTGTTTTTCCACCATGCCTGCCTTTGGTATATAAGGCTCCACCCTTGTTAAAATAAACACCATTCTCCTCGTAAGAATGAGCCGCTGTCTTTGTCTTCATTTACATCCTTAGCCCTTCGACTGGATCGTTGTTAAGTGTTGTAGCCCCATAGCCGCGAACCCACCGGCTCGCTACAGCCTAGCAACCCTTAACCCCACCTCAAGACCACTTGCCCTTCTCTCAGGAAAGCCCTCCCCGGCCTGACCTCCCAACATACTGACTAGGCCACTAGCCAGCTGGGACACCCATTCTTCCTTTTTTCGATTCTATCTTTCCCCTTCGTCACTGAGCAGGACTCACTAGAGGCATCCCTAGGGGATACTCAGCTATCTCCAAATACCAGTCCAGTGCTTGGCATGAAGCAGGGGCATAGAACAAGAGAGGGAATGGAGAGAGGAGAGACAGAGCGAATGAGTGGATATGGGTGGGAGTCTAAATCCCCTCTCTGGAGGCCAAAGGGTTAAGACCAGATACCTTCTCCTGGAGACAGCATATCCGCCAGAGACAGGACAGCCCCGGGTCAGACCTTCTGCCTGCAGAGCTGTGCTCTGAGAACTCTGTGGCAGAGCAAGTCCCTCTTCTTCCTCCTCAGCCCCCTCCCCTGGAAGTATACACGAGCTCCAGGACAGAGAACAGGCCTCCTCGTTAGGTGGTAGATCCGACCTGAGAGAGGCTAGCTTGGGGTATTTTGTGTGCTGAGACCTTCACACACACCTGGCTCCTTTCTTAGGAAAGGCAGGTGGATAGACCACAGGTGAGCTGAGCTCCTTCATCTGCTGCATGGATGGCAAGGAGGTGTCATCCCTCGTGCCAAGTCCAATCCATTGGTCTCGGCTGCCTAGAGCTCGGCATTGGAAAGGATATTAAGGTCACACCAAAGCTCAGCAGAAAGGAGCACCGTGACTGATGAGTGACGTCTGCTGTGGGTGCAGGAGGGGAGGCAGCGGCATTTCTTTTGCCCTTATCAATTAAGTTCAACTCCCTCATTATACATTAATGAAATGAAGCCACAGAGGGAAAGTATCTGGGTCAAGGTCAAGGATTAAAGCCCCTGCTCGGGGTTCTCTGTCCTCACCCTGAATCCCCTTTTCTCCACAAGAGACAGAAGAGATTTCCTCAGCTAAGAAGCCTTCTCGCTTTCCCTCTCTACACTCCAGGTTTCCTGTCCCCTTCACAAGTCTGCCCTCCTACTCCAAAGCAGCCTGGAGGTCAGAGGAACACTTGTGGAATCGACTTCATCATAGCAACACACACCCTGGCTCTCCTGAGAGTCGCCAGGAACCCAACACAAGGAAGAGAAGTCATCCTGCCTCCTACACACTGGTCTTTCCTCCTAGAGAAACTGGACTTTATGGAGCCTTGGCCCTCTAAGCCTTTGGATCTGGGCCCTGGTCCAATGTTGCTGTTGTCTGAGGAATGGTTTGGTGAGAACAGATGTTAGAATCTGTTTATTGGTTCTTGTTTGGCTAATAAATCATCACCAACAATCTTCCTCTGCAGGAATCTAAGTCCTTCCGGCTCCTCCACCTCTCCTCCCCCCCATTGTGGCTCATAGGGGCTCAAAGACACTTAGGCGAAGCAATAGATCTTTTGGCTGGAAGTTGGGAAACACTAGGGCAAGGGCAGGCGATGCCTTTGCTGAGTGCTTCCCCCAGCTGGTGTAGGCTAAGTGGGCAGCCAGGGACATGGAGGATGCTGTAGATATAAGGCTGATAAGGACTCAGAAGGGCACCTTAGGAGTTAGTGAGCCCTGGAAGGAAGGATGCAGACTCCAGAACAGCTCCACGATTCTCTTGGGACTGCCTAACCTCCTGGGCTTAGGCCCTTGCCTCGCTCAGGAGCCCATTCCCTGCCCCATCCCGGGGTGTCTTCTCCCTGCTCTGCCCTGCCCCATCCCGGGATGTCTTCTGCCTGCCCCATCCCGGGGTATCTTCTCCCTGCTCTGCCCTGCCCCATCCCGGGGTGTCCTCTCCCTGCTCTGCCCTGCCCCATCCCGGGATGTCTTCTGCCTGCCCCATCCCGGGGTATCTTCTCCTTGCTCTGCCCTGCCCCATCCCGGGATGTCTTCTGCCTGCCCCATCCCGGGGTATCTTCTCCCTGCTCTGCCCTGCCCCATCCCGGGGTGTCTTCTCCCCACCCTGCCCCATCCCGGGGTGTCTTCTCCCCGCCCTGCCCCACCCTGACTCTAAGGCTCACTTAAGGCAACACATGCCCTTTGGGTCCTCCCCCTGGCCAAGGCACAGCAGTCTCACAGTTCTCCTCCATCCGTTCTGTTCCAGACACCACTGCAGCTCCCCGCCTGGCACCAACACCAGCACCAGTGACTAGCCAGTTTGCTCTTTTCCACTCCAGTGCTACTCAGCTGAAGAGCCATAGGCGCTGAGTCAACAGTTGGGACTCCCTCCGTGTCTGCAAATGCTCTAGAGCCCTGCTAAGCACTGGAAGATGAGAATGGGGAGCACATGCCCCACCCCTGGAATCAGAGAGGAGGCTGGGAGCACAAAGAAAGTCTCACAGGACACTTGGGTAGTCACTTCAGGGTAGGTTCGAGCAAGCAGAAGGGTGACCAATGCAGCAGGAGACTGGGGCGGGCAGGCAGAAAGCAAAGAACTTCCCTAAACATCCATAGAACGCAGTGGCGGGTGGGTGTCTGTCTCCTTAGGGCATTCTACTGCTGGACAGTGCAGTCTGGCTTAGACCAAAGGTAGCCCCCAAAGGCAAAGTGGGACTGAGGCCTCACCTGCATATATACATGTCTCACATCAACAGCTTTGACTAGTATGACTAATGGAGACCCTTTGTGCTATCTAAAAAGGAGTGTGGGGTCAAGCAGGGAGGTGACAAGGAGTCTTGATACCAAGGGGCCCCCACAAACAGAAAGATAAGGTCCCTACCCTGACAAGACTCTCAGAGGTAGCCCAGCCCTGATGATGAAGGTTTCAAGGTGGGTATAACTCAACAGAGTACTTGTCTTGCACCCATAGGGCCCTGGCTCAGTCCCCAGAGCATATAGAAATAAAATCCAAGGTGCCGACTCTCCCTGCACTGCCTCCTGTCACACCTGCTGTGCGGCCTGCATCCGAGAATGTAGCGAGGTGGTCGGGATAGATGACACAGAGACCGGTCGGTTGCTTTAAGAAAACTTTATGCTTCCCAAGTCAGCTTAGGAGGAGACCCCAGTCCGCTTAGGAGAGCTCTCAGGAGAAGTCTCAGGAGAAGTCTCCCTAAGAAAAAGGAGCTTCCCTTTTTAAGGACTTCTGCCATTCATCTACCTACCATTCTTTCCTCCTGGCTGGTGGTCTAATCTCCGGCCCCAGAATTGGGGAGACACCACAGGGAAACAGGAAGAGGCATCTAGCCGTAAGGGGTGTAAAAGGCATGGTATTTCAGTGAGCAAGCCCTATCTGAGCCCTAAAGCACTGAATTGTTTTCAGTAAACATTACATAGATGCCTGCTCCCAGGCCGAAGGGGAAGTGGGTTTCTGCTCAAGGTCTGGTGTCCCCACAGCCTCCGGCTGCGGTGAGGCCTGAAGATGAAAGGTTGAATCCCCTGAAGAGGGGCAGGGAGCTGTATGGAGCAGACTCCCCATTCTCAGCCAAACTCCTTACACGGGAGGTGGGGACCGACTTCTCCAGACATCCACCTGCAACGTCTAGTGTTGTCAACTGGATGGGATCTAAAGTCATCCAAGGGCAAGCCTCCGGGCACACGGCCCTGTGGGGACAATGTCTAGATTAAGGCTAGCTTCTGAGAATGAGGGACTACTGCTCATTAGTGTGGGAAGATGCACCTAATTATGGATGGAACCTACTTTTTGGCAGGGGCTCCTGGACTATGTAAGAGGAGAAAGGAAGCTAAGCAGCATCCATTCATTGCTGTTTCCTGGAAAGATGGAAGCGAGCAGCTGCATTCAAGCTCCCCGTCATGACATCCTTACAATGAGCCAGGATAGACCCCTCCTCCTCTTTTGATGCTCATGTCAGAATATTTTATCACATCCTCAGGAAAGGAAACTAAGATACCACTTAGTTTCCTTCTGCACATTCTGGGCACTGCAGCCTAGGCTGCTCCCACATCGGCCGATGTCAGTTCTCAAATGGAAAGCCTCGCTATGAGCGCAGGCACACTTCCCACTGCAGATCCAGCT